ATATATTCCACCTGGAGCCCGTGGAGGACCCCACGCCGGAGCAGGTGGAGGCACCTGAAGGAGGCTGTGACCCCATAGGAAGCCCAAGCTGGAGCAAGTTCCTGGCAGGACCTGTGGATCCGTGGAGAGAGGAGCCCACGCCAGAGCAGGTTTGCCGGCAGGACTTGTGACCCTGTGGGGGACCCATGCTGAAGCAGTTTGCTCCTGAAGGTCTGCACCGCATGGAAGAGACCCACGCTGGAGCAGTTCATGAAGGACTGTAGCCCGTGGGAGAGACTCCATGCTGGAGCAGGGGAACGTTGAGAGGAGTCCTCCCCTGAGGACAAAGAAGCAGCAGAAACAATGTGCGTTGAACTGACCATAACCGCCATTCCTCGTCCCCCTGTGCCGCTGAGAGGGGCGGAGGTTGAAGCCGGGAGTGCAGTTGAGCCTGGGAAGATGGGAGGGGTGGGGGGAGGTGTTTTAAGACTTGATGTTATTTTCTCATTGCTTTACTCTGTTTTGTTTAGTAATAAATTAGATGAATCTCCTTTCTGAGTTCAGTCTGTTTTGCTCGTGACGATAATTAGTGAGTGATCTCTCCCTGTCCTTATCTCGACCCAAGCCTTTTGTTATACTTCTCCTCCCCATCATGCTGGGGGAGGCATGAGCGAACGGCCGTGTGGTACGCTGCTGCCGGCTGGGCCTAAACCACGACACTAAGCTACTGGTAATTCTAAACCTCCAAACAACATGAAAAATGAAGGGATAAATATGAGAAAGGGATTTTATAATTTCCAAATGTTGCATCTTGTAAACAAATGCTTATTTTCCAACGAGAGTGAAACCCAGCACTTTTTAATGAGGCAAGAGTACTGAGGCACACAAAAGGCAATACAAGTAACTCTTCATTTCTGCCATTAATGACCTCATTTAAGCCACTAATAACCTCAGGAACAGCTTGTGAGCACACATCAGGCCATGGGGTGGCCCAAATCTCACATGCTAAGAAATATCCCTATGGTTAGTTCAGAGAGCTGACACAATTGTTTGATCCACTGGGAAAAATACATGTCTACGTAAGTATACACTGATCTTTGCATCACTTTTACTAATTCAGGATTCTTGCACAGACTGTAATCGAATAGGTATGGTTACATGTTTTATAAAATGTTCCAGCTGAATGACATTCAATTCCTTCTTGGTTGCCGACTACAGTGTAAAAAAATTCATAAGGGGTGTAATCAGAACATCCTATGAAAGTCCACATACTTCTCTGTAATAAAGGCCCAGTCAAGTAATACTTGGATCAATGCAAGCCCACTAGGATGGCAAACTAAAAGTTGCTTTCAATAGTTTTGCCCTGAGCAATCCAGAAAATATACCTCTTCATCCTCAAGATAGCGTGATTACTTCTTGAAAAGAACCTGTTAACAAATGTAATTCAACTTTTGAATCTTCAGGACCTTAGAATGAATACCAATCTCAGGAGTATGCTTTTTATGCAGTTGTGACAAACCATGCCTTTGTATTATTACAGCTGTCCACTGCACTGCCCCAAATCATGCAGTTCTAGAGATGTCTCATGAAAATGTTGTTGAACCCCCGGGATCATTATGAACTCCCTCCAAACTACTGAGACCTGTGATTGTTATGCTTAGAGTGTGTTAACCATTTCACATAAGTGGTAGCCTGCAGCTACTACTGCAAATGCATAGAAATAACTTCTTCGATCATATTTTGTCTCCTCTGAAATTTACATGCATTCCCTATGCTTACAGAAGAAAGTTTATTCACAAAAATGTTACAGAGCAAGAATGCTCCACTTTGGTCTTCCATAATACTACAGTTTCCCATTCTTTTAAAAGGCCCTTTTAGGAGGCCATAGGAGAACATTGCTTTCAAAGAAGGTTTACCATTAATTCTGGCATATGTCATACTGTTTACCTTTCTGGACTGCATAGGTAGTATTAGCTATTGCTGTGTAGTAAAGCATCTGCTGTCCTAAAGCATACAATTAGGGCAAATCTAGTTACGAACTTCTAATGCAGTACCTGTACTGTCACAAATACATGACTGGCTAGCAGGGATGCACTGTGACAAGAATACTTTGAGTTGCTTTAAATTTAAACACATCCAAAAATATAAAATTATTCACTATGAGGAATGCAGCATGAAAATTTGTTTTTTAATATCTTTTTTTGGCCATCCTCAAAAATGACACAGTAATTGTCAAGTATATGGAAAATGTGTTCCTCAAGGGTCGGTACTCGGACCAGCACTGTTCAACATCTTTGTCAGCGACATGGACAGTAGGATCGAGTGCACCCTCAGCAAGTTTGCCGATGACACCAAGCTGTGTGGTGCGGTCAACACGCTGGAGGGAAGGGATGCCATCCAGAGGGACCTTGACAGGCTGGAGAGGTGGGCCCGTGCGAACCGCACAAAGTTCTGCAAGGCCGAGTGCAAGGTCCTGCACGTGGGTCAGAGTAATCCCAAGCACGACTATAGGCTGGGCGAGGAATGGATTGAAAGCAGCCCTGAGGAGAAGGACTTGCGGGTATTGATGGATGAGAAGCTCAACATGAGCCAGCAGTGTGCGCTTGCAGCCCAGAAAGCCAACCGTGTCCTGGGCTGCATCAAAAGCAGTGTGACCAGCAGGTCGAGGGAGGTGATCCTGCCCCTCTGCTCCGCTTTTGTGAGACCTCACGTGGAGTACTGCGTCCAGCTCTGGGGGCCCCAGTACAAGAAAGACATGGAGCTATTGGAGCGAGCCCAGAGGAGGGCCACGAAGCTGATCAGAGGGCTGGAGCACCTCTTCTGTGAGGACAGTGTGAGAGAGTTGGGATTGTTCAGCCTGAAGAGAAGGCTCCAGGGACACCTTACTGCAGCCTTCCAGTACTTAAAGGGGGCCTACAGGAAAGCTGGAGAGGGACTGTTTATCAGGGAGTGTAGTGATAGGACAAGGGGTAATGGGTTTAAACTGAAAGAAAGTAGATTTAGATTAGATGTTAGGAAGAAATTCTTCACTGTGAGGGTGGTGAGGCACTGGAACAGTGTTTACACATTAGAAATTATTCTACCATTCTAGGGTATATAAGGAAAAGGTTAGTTTAACTGAAATTCCTCAGGGACAATAATGCTAGTGCACTTGTCTGTTTTCAAAATACGTACATTAGCCACAGAGTCAGTTAATAAGTAACATCAGTCTTCATAGTTGTAATAGTGCGGCTACCTTCAGCCTTCCAGAAGTAAGAAGTGTCATGAGAATGCAAATGAGTTTGACTTAGTAGTGTGTGCTTATATGAGCTCTGTTCCTAAGGGAAGGTTTTCTCAGAAAGGTATGCTTCATATTTGGACCAAAACAAAAATCAGCCTGATACTGAGCCTGAATGCACTGCTCCTAATTTCCAGGCTACTATAGGCATAATACTTTGAAACATTTTCCTATCCAGATTCCTGTGCCTCCAGTTAAGATTTTAAAGAATTAAAAAACACAAATAAAGACTGAAATTAGTCTGTTTCATCAGGCAACCTGGAATTTTGAGAAACTTGTGCACTCAGCTCAGGTCAAGAGGTCTAGATGACTGCTTTCTTCAGATCACAGATGAGATTAGTCCAATAACTGCCTACCCTGTTTCATTTATTGCAGAATTGCTTCTGGCTCAGAACAGTAAATCAAAGAGAAAGGAAACAGGGAGGAAAGCTTTGAAAGGCACATAAAGTGGTTGAAAATACACTAGAAAGCCAACAACACATCAAGTCTACATAGATTTGAAGGAGGCTGGGCACTGAAACGTGAACCTACACTCAACCTTTTCTGAGATTCATGTGTATTCAGTACTTAACAGAGATAGTGCAAATATCCTCCCCTCCATCAACCTGTAGCCTACATGTAGGTCAGGAGACTAAATCCTGATGTAGATAGGTTCAAGAAAGTAGCAATAAGTAAAAGCACAAAGTTATATAAAAACAAATCAGGATGCAAATAAATTGGTTGAATTATCAACAGATCTCCATGCACTCTGAAGTGAAGGGTTAAGAAGTCCCCATATCTCACTTTTAACAAACAGGGAAACTGAGGCTGAAGGAGATGTAGCAGCTTGCTTGGTCCTGTAGCAAATCAATGGCAGATTTTCTGGTTTGGTGCCTCATCTACTGCTATGTGGTTCATGACTTAGAGGGAGCAATAAACCTCAAAGATAATATAATTTCATAGACTTGGAAAAGTTTGGTATATCCAAATTAAAGGCTAAAACATTATTTTCTTATGGTACTTTGAAATGAGATCTGCTACTGCAGTTAACTATACAAAACAGTTAAAAAACTGAGAATATAATCCTCAAAAAACTCCCCCAGGGAAAGA